GTTCAGGATTTACAGACTTGACCAGCAGCTCTTTATATAATGATAATATAATGAACTTATATTGCTTGAATAGGCCTATGTGCAATTAATTGTCTTTTATTAATGATTAATAAAGTTAATTAATCGGTTACGTAATCATAACTGACATGGCACGTTTTTTTCATTTTACATCTGGCCTTCTTATAGGCTGTTCATTTTACTGTGACAATCATTTAATAACAAAACACTTTTTGTGAACGAGGACACCAAACATTAATTCTTATTTAGGCTAACTTTGGTCTTCATCATTTAAATTAAAATAAAATAAAATGAGAAGAAGATCTCGCTCCAGGAAACAGAGAAACTGTCAATAACAGAGTGGAGAAGTGTTTACATTCTGACGTCACTGTGATTAATAAAGATATTAAAAGTTTAGAGTAAAGAAACTCTGAGAGGTTTTAAAGTAGAAAAGATCTGACTTTGTCCACACTCTGAGTATTCAGACTGTTGCAGTGTGAGGAGATAATCACAAAAGGCAGAACATCAGAACATCAGATCATCTATCTGAGTGCAGCTGCCCGAACATGAAACGTTCAGGTGAGATCTTAAACTCAGGAAATGTGATTACTCCTCACTTTTTAGGGGATATTTGATTTTTTTTCCGGGCCAGACTATAACGTAAATAAAGATCAGGAAGAGTCTGGCAGGTGTTTCATAAAGTGTGTTAAGGCGTCATCATTTCACTTTTCTAAGAGTGTAATCGTCTCATCAGGACAGAACAGGAGCTCATCTGTGAGTTTGAAGGAATTCGTTTGGCTGAAACCTCGCAGAGCAAACAGTCTCAGCGGAAGCAGAAAGTAGGTCCAAACCCATTCCCTCCACTTACCTCTGTAATGTCAATTATCTTTGTTGGCTGCTGCTGCCGTCGCTCCGCCCCCCTCCGTGTGGTTGGAGTCTGAGTCCGGCGGGATAAGGGCAACTCGTCTCCTCGTTCAGCCGATCAGCTGGACTTCTTCTTCCCAGGGAGGCAGAGGAAGCACGAAAAACCCGGACGGAGGGAGGGAGGGGGACGCAGAGCCGCCGGACTGACCCGACCACATCCAGCCCAGAGCCCGGGGGGTCCGCACCATGTCCTTCAGCCCCAAACACTCCACCCCCTTCTCAGTCTCCGACATTTTGAGCCCGATGGAGGACAGCTACAGGAGGTTCGGAGGGATGGATCCCGCCGCGGGGAGCCTCGGATCCCCGCTGGGCGCCTACCGGCAGTCGCAGGTCTCCCAGCCCGGTATGATGCAGCATCAGCAGCAGCAGGCGCAGCAGCACCATCATCACCACCACCATCACCATCACCACCTGTCCTCCTCCTCTTCATCCTCATCCTCCTCCTCCTCTTCCTCAGCAGCAGCAGCAGCAGCAGCAGCAGCCGCGCTCGGACCCGGTGGGCCCTATCACGTCCCCCACGGGGTGCCGCAGTTCTCCGGGGCCGTCGGAGGGTTCTGCAACGGCGGCATCGGGAACGTGGGAGAGCTGCCGTCCTACCAGGAGACGGTGAGGGGCGGGGGGGCCGCGTGGTACAGCAACCCGGAGCCCAGATACCCCACAAGTAAGAAGTTCATTCAAACAAATACATTTATAATCAGAGGAAAGTTTTAAAAGAAGAGAAAATTCACGCGGGACAGTTTGGCCTTTTACGCACGATGGAAACAAAAGTTCTTAAAATGTGCATCAAAATAACAGCTGATTGTTTTTTTCAAGACCAACAAAACTAAAGTGAGCTTTTACAATTTATTTTAGGATATATTTACTGGCATCTAATTTTTCTGGCGTCACTTTTTACTTTCTTTGAGGATTGAAAACAGACTTCGTGGAAACGTTTACGCACACTAATTAAAATAAGTTATTTATGACATCTGTGGCACTAATCCGTTTTTTTTAATCATCATCTGATGAATTTAATTCACCACTTTAATACATACATGCACGAAAGTATATAAATAAAGTGGATAAACTGATATTTATGATTTAAAAAGGGATCTAGGCCTTTTCTCAGAATTTAAATCGAGTTGTTTTTTTCCGCAGCAGTCACATTTTTCCTCCTAAACTTTTCGGCATATTTTCGTTTTACAACTGATGAATTTATTTATTTTATTAAGCATTTAAATGGATTTTTTTTACTCCTAAATTTTCGGCGTATTTTAGTTTTAAATATGATTAATTTATTTGTTTTATTAAGCATTTAAATTGATTTTCAATTTGATAAAAAGATACATATTATGAGATTTGAAACTTATGGATAAGCGAGTTTTTGTCTGAGATGAATCTCGCCGTTTGATTCGTTTAAACTTGATTGTTTTTAATGTATTTTTTAAGTTTCCAGATTCATGGGCCCCTCCGCCGGGATGAACATGTCCGGGATGGTGGGCTCTCTGTCCGGGATGGACTCCAGCACCAAGTGCTCCATGGTGAGTCTGCACGCGGCGCCACGCAGGAAGCGGCGGGTTCTCTTCTCGCAGGCTCAGGTGTACGAGCTGGAGCGGCGCTTCAAACAGCAGAAGTACCTGTCCGCGCCGGAGAGGGAGCACCTGGCCGGACTCATCCACCTCACCCCGAACCAGGTCAAGATCTGGTTCCAGAACCACCGGTACAAGCTGAAGCGGCAGGCCAAGGACAAAGGCCCGCAGCAGCAGCAGCAGCAGCAGCAGCAGCAGCAGCAGGAAGGGAGCGGCGGAGGAGGAGGAAGTCTGTGCCGATCCTCCTCCGTGTCCCCGGTTCTATCCAAGACCGGGAAGAGCTGCAGGACCGAGTCCAGCGGCTCCAACCAGACTGGAAACAGACAGAGCAGCGCAGGGAAGCCATGACGGCGACCCCGCAGCACCATCATCATCATCACCATCAGCAGCAGCAGCAGCAGGTGAACCAGCTGTCATCCACGGAGGAGCTGGAGGATTTGTCCCCGAGTCCGCCGCTGGGACTGCAGGCGCAGATCAACATGACGCAGACAGACGCGGCGCTAATCGAGTACACGAACAGCATGATCGGCTCCAATTTACTGTACGGGAGGACTTGGTAGGGGACACCATGAGGAGGAGGACTGACGGGGATCCGGGCCTCAGGTGGATTTTTTTTTTTCCGGCCAACAAAACAAAACAAGCACCAGACTTCTTTTTGGACAGACACTGGTTTGGAGGATCAAGGTGCAAAACTAAAAAAAGAAACTGTAAATAAGAGGCTGAACCGGGTCTGAATGTGACTTCCTCTGCAAAACGAAATATTTGTGATTAGTCTTTTTATGTTTTGTTATAAAAGGTTTTGATTTAATACAGGAGGACAAAAAAACATCTAATTTTTAGTTTCCCTTTTATTTCTCATACAAATTTAAATTATTACCAGAAGTAAAAAAAACGAAGTGAAGCTGCAGCTGTTTCCGGTTTAAATGAAATATTTTCACCTGAATTCATGATTCAAATTCTTCGTTACAGCCGATTTAAAAAAAAAAAAAAACATGTTTCCGGTTTGAAATAAACGTCTTCTTTTTGTTTTACATTTGAATGTTTTTTTTTTTGTGGAGCCAGAAGCAGATTGAGCAGTTTACAGTGTTCATCAGTGGAACAATGAAACTCTTACAGACTGAATGTAGATATTAAAGAGAGAGGGGTTTGAATGTACCGGAATATTCTGCACAAACAACTCAAACATCTAAAAAAATAAATAATAATAACTGGGACGTTGTGTTTAAATATAATTAGATACTAAATGTGATGATTTGCAAAACATTTAGCTCCCCATATTTTGTTTGAAATGCAGCAGGAGGACATCATGTGAAAAGAGGAAACTGAGAAATGTCATCGCTTTGTGAAAATTAGAAATATGTTTCCAAAAAAGTTAAGAGAGAGAGAGGGGGGGGGGCATTAAGGTACAGGGGTTTGCCATGCCTAGGACCCCCATATTTGGATTCTTACAGGAACCCCTCTTGCACATTAAACATTCGACTTCTTCCTCGTTCATTTCTTTCTAGAGTTTTATTTTAAGAGGAGGGGGGGAAGTTTTTTTTAAATATCAGGGACCCTCACAGCCGCTGCTCGATTCAGATTAGGGGTGTCAGTATTTTCTTTTTTAAACTGAAGATTGCCATGACCCCTCCACTCCCTGCCCCCCCTTCATGTACTTTAAACACAGTGATTAATAACATCTAAAAAGTCATGTATTCAAATGTTACTGTCACAAATCATTTTAGTTAATTCTAATTTTTAGTCCATTTTCCTCTAAGTTTTTCGCGACCCCCTGAAGTGTCAGAACCCCCCCGCCTCCCCCTCCCACTTTGAAAAACACTGCATCAGTGCCGATGGCGTGGGTAACCTGCACCCTGGTGGATTCTCCGTTATTAAGCATGAATTTTAATTAACGCATAAAGCTGCCTCATAGAAAATGTCTTTTCCAGAGAAAGGCCCGACTGATCTAAACCTTCATTCAGCTCCAAGAGTGAGTGTAGCCCAAGAGTCCGGCTAACAAACGGGGGGGGGGGGGTCCCTGCAGACCCCGTTAGTCACCGATTGTCTTATTTTTACGTTTCTTAAAGCTCCAAATATTTTACAGAGAGCGTGATTAAACAGGAAGTGGACAAAGGTTCACTTTCACAGTGACAGGAACAGATCTCTCTCTCTCTTCAGTGTTTTTAAAAGTGAAGCAGCAGAGCGCCGTCTATGACCCCCGTCACGACTATTTAGAAACACATGGCTGGCTTCTAAAAACAACATGTCTCATCTTTTTAAATGTTTGAAAAATCATCTCATTCTGTTTTTTTATCTACATGTTACGGGACGTCCAGATGTTTTTAGAAATGACGGTTTGGTTGTGTTTTTTTTTTTTTCTGTGGTTGAATTTTGATGTCGACTATTTTATATTTCTAACGGGAGATTTATTAAAAAAACCAAAAACAAACGAGCGTCCTTTGAACTGTTCTTGTGTTTAACATGAAGTGTGAACATGTAGACCTGGAAGCAGAGACGAGGATTTCTGTGAGACAAAAACAATCCAAATGTTTTATTTGTCGTCTTTTTTTTTTTTTAGACCACATTGGAGAGGCGTCTCAAAAAGAAACCCATGAGGACTCTTAGTCCGGGACTCACTTGTGTTCAACAAGTTTTACAGGCTGATCGTCTTAAAAATCACAACGTTACATATTAACCTTTTTTTTTGTTTTGTTTGTAAGTAAAATGAAGAGGAAAAAATAATTCAGTGTACAAGAAGACATTAAAAATGAAAAAAAAAATACTGGTGACATGTCTCCCCTAAAAATAGCCCCGCCCACATGTAACCCCAGAGTCCGGCATGTGCTCGGAGTTTACTTCCAGTCGTAGCGTCTGGATGGAGGAGGGGGAGGGTAACCTCGGCCCGAGCTGAAGCTCTGAAACACACAAAGAGGTTCAAGTTGAAAGGAGCTGCGGGTTTGAAATGTAGACACGTTAAAGACAGAATTTACAGATTAAATAAAATAACTGAAGAGGAAGAAACGAGCGACAAGACGAGACATTCAGAGGAAAGAAGCTCCTGAAGAAATAAAGAGCAAACGCTTGGAGACGTTTCCAGAGTTATGGAAGAAGTTCACTTTTTTAAATTCATTGTTTGAGCTGTTATAGGAGAGCTGACGAGAGACAGGAAGGGGGGACGACAGCCTCTGTACAAACTTGGAGCGCTGGATAGCCTGGAGGTTATGATGCACGCTCCAAGTTTGAGCTAACTTTGACTCAGAGGTGGAAAGAGTACTCAAGTACTTTAGAAGTTGATTTAATTAAAGGTTTTAAATCTTTACAAATTAAAGTGAAAAATAAAAGAAGTCGACACACGACTCTTCAAACCCTTAGGGAGGCAGGATGTGTCCTTTTAGTCGAGACCATCCCATAAAAACATTTTCAAACTCCTAATATTGAAGGCTGTCTTTTTTTTCAAACTCCAAATATGTAAATCCGAACAGGTCGAGGTCCGAGGTGTTGAGAGTTAAAAACTCAAATCTGAGAATCAGGGACATTCCAGATGTTTGAAGACTAAACTGCATTTCACTGCGGCTGTTGTTTTTTCTTCTTCTGTGGTGTTTATTGGCGGTTGACACTGCAGTTGTTTCTGGGGCGATTTTTTTCTCACGGCCAGCATTTGCAAAACCAAAACCTTCTTAAAAGGCAGGGATGATCATTTTCAAACACTGGCTTTATTTTGAAAGTAGCGTTCCCTCAGTGCTCCGTCTGCACCCCCCACCGGGAGCGGGGTCATTTCGCACAACTCGAGTTTCGTCTTCAACGCCAGAGGAATTAAACTTCAACTTATTTTTCAAAATAAAACAAGTCTTGAGTTGGATGTTAATAATCGTCGGTGTTGATTCTTCTTCTGAAGGTGGAAACGTCCCGCCCCCACGCGTCATCAAAAGTCTTTTATTTTGGCGGTGCAGTGAAGCTGTGAGAGAGAGAAGTCTTCTAACTCTTGAAGTGTTAAATAATCGTTTTTTTTTAAAACGCACAACAAAAAGAACAGCTCAGAGTCAGCCATCGATTTTATTTTTTAAGTCAAACCTGATGAACAAACAGGATTTTTATATTTGTTTTCATATTGATGAAACACTTTTTAATACTTTACCGACTGTAAAGTTTCATCGACTTTAACGACCTTCAGGTTGAGGTTGAACAGACTTTAATTATTATAAAAATTGGAGGAATATGGAGTATGGAGAGCAGGCTTTTATTTTGTTAAGTTTACCTGGTGCTGTTGGCCCCGGTTGTCCCGTCGATCGTGCCACTCGTCTCTCCGCTGGTCGAAGCGCTGCTGGTATCCTCCGGGCGCCGCCCCTCCTCGTCCGCGGACTGCGTTCTGCTGGTACGCCGACTGCTGCGTGTGCTGAGCTCGATCCCAGCCGTGACCCCCGCCGCCGCCGCCGCCTCCCCCGCCATACTGCTGCTGCTGCTGCCTGGAAACACACACACACACACACACACACACATCTGTTAAGTACTCTCCACAGCAAGGTCTCAAATTCAGATCGAGATTCTCCGACATGTTGGAGTCCTGCTCGAGGACGTGAGGACAGAGAGGCACCAGACTCAGACCTCCAGGAATCTGCGTGACGCTGACACACAGTAACGCCGTTAGCTCACATTATGGACAGCGTGCAGCTTCCTGGTTACCTCACGGGGACCAGGCCGACGTCATGTGACATCCAGCGAGCTTTTTAGTTTGAATGATGATTCACCAGGTTTCAGTTTCACACATTCTTATAGACACAGAAATCATTTACCTGAGTGTTTCATTCCAACATTCCTCCTCCAGAATTTAAGCTTTAGACGCCGTGACCAGCTAGCGGTTTTTTCCTCAGTTGTTTTCAACGAGTAGAGAGCGCTCGCAGCAGAAAGCGGCCGCCTGGAGAAAAACCGCAGCGCCCGGCGTCTTTTCTTCCGAGCTCCGAATGCTCAAGTTGCAAATGTTCCAAATTTTCAGAAAGGCGTTGTTGGCGTCACCGGCGCTCTTTTCCAAAAACAGTCTCAGATATAAAACATGCAGTAAAAAGTAACGGAGCAGCGTCGGTCATACAGCGGCCGTAATCAAGAGACTGTTGTCATGGAGACGAGACCAACCAACTCAAATGAAATGGAGAAACAACTTGTAGCTTTGTCTCTCTGTTTTGTTGTCATGGCGATAAAGTTATGGAGTACGCATATTGTGTTTTATTTTGAAATTATCCGGACGCTCTGTGCTCTTTCCTTGTCTGACTTCCTGTCCAGGTCGTTCGAGCTTGACGGGTGCTTACAGCGAGCACCGCCCAAAAAAAGACCAACAGCGTATTTGAGCGTAGTGGCGCTGCCCGGCTCGCGGCGCTGCCCGGCTGGCGGCGCTCGCTGTGGGAACACAACCAACGGCAGAGTGGTGTGCAGCGCTGACGAGAGTACGTGGACATTGGGGGTTAAACTTTCTAACAGCTGTTGAAAGCCGAGCTGTTTCCCCGTCCTTAAACACTAAACGCACGGTGAAGTAACGCCAGAGCAGGAATCTGAAAATCTCTTCAAACATCACGTCGAGAGAGAAGTTCATTTTGACAAAATGTCTCTGAGTTCATGAAACGATGAGGACGATCAATTTCAACGTTCTTCTATGCCCGTTTAACCAAGAGAGTTTGTCAAGTGTTTTTATTTTGGGATCGTCCAATCACAGCTTTTCAGAGAATGTGTCCTACCTAGCAACAAGAGTGGCCCCGCCTCCTCTCAGAGATCCGCTCTGGAGATGATCCTAGATCTGTCGTGGAGCTGCAGGACGTATTCTCAGGAGGTTTCATTTGTGTCGTATCTGAAAGTTGTTTCCTTCTTTTGTTTTGAATGTAAGCGTTTCCTCCTAATGATGTCATTTCATTTACATTTAATCTATATATGAGTGCAGGGGGCGGGGCGATGACGATCAAAACTCCTCATTCTACTTCTCCAGGTGTAGTGTAGTGAAGCATTCATGGTGCCAAACTGTACCATGGCTGTAAATGAAAAGTCTCTCACGCCATCGGGGGGGGGGAAGGGGGGAGGGGGGTCTAAAGGTTGTTCTTTGTCGATGATAAAACACAAATCTACAAACTTTGGTTTTTACCTCATTTTTAATTTGACACGACGTGCAAATCCATCCAAACTTTCTTAACATAAAGTGTATTTTTCTCCAGATGACATTAATCCTTCAGTCATGACGATTACAGAAGAAGAGAGTGAACTCTTCTCTCTTTGTGTGTTTTTACTCTTCGGTAGGAGGTAGTATAACAACGTTTAGGACACGGGAACAAAGAGGAAGTGATGGAAACTTTATCTGCAGCTACTTTGGTAATCGATCATTTGTTACATTCTTTTTTTTTTTTAGGGTAATAATCCTTCCATTAATAAATTTAACTGAATACCTTTGAGGCTTTAGACTCCTCTAGGAACAAAAAAAAAAACATTTCAAAATGTATATTTCACTTTTCAAAGAAACCTGCAGCTTCATCGAACGGACGTTTAAGAGAACTGTGTGCAAAGGTTTGTTTGAGTCAGGAAAAGTTTGGTCAGGGGGAAGTCAGAACTTTTAAATGTTGGGCTTCACTTCAACATGGAGGTTTGATTTTGTTCATTTAATCCTAATCTTTGGGATGCTGGGACACAAACAGAAGTCCAAGACGCCCAATGACTGGTTACTTCTTATTTTTAATCATCAACAACTCTAAGAAACTCCTGCACACAGTTTGATGTTTAATCATTGATAATGTTTCTGTGCATTTTACAAAATTGTGCATTTTTTGACGGCTTCATTCCTCTCCCAGGCACCTGTCTTAAAGTTTCTGTGTTTTTGATTCTATCGATTATTAAATCAACAGATTTTTATCGTTTTAAATCATCAAAGAAGTAGCCTAAGATGGAACATTTTGACAACCTAAAGACTCTTTGATTATTTGAAGTTGGGGTGATGAAAAGCTGGACTTTGAGATCCAGAAAGGGCGATCTTTAACCTCTGTAAAACCCCCCCTCTCGACGAGGCGTTTACTGAGGGACGGCGCCCTCGAGAAGATAAAACAGCCTCTCCTGAGCGGACTTAGCAGCGATGATCATGAAAGAGCTCAGAGTATGAAATGAACCATATTCACATATGGTCTCGGATCCTCCTCATCCTCTGAAATGAGGCGGCCGGATTGCCTCCGTGGGACCGAGTGAAGAGCTGGCACGCCACGGCCCTCCACGCCGCTGGCGGACAATGTGTCAATCCGGCGCTGATATTAAAAGTCTCTTCTTAAGTCACAATGAAGAGAGGAGACTCTGAGAGCTGCACCACCCCCCCCCCATCCCTCATTACTGAACCATGTCACACTCTGGCCAGAGCTGGACTTAACTGAGCGCTGGAATCCGTAATCCCCCTCCTCTTAAAGTTTCCTCCTGCATTTCATTTGGTCCCGGTCCCGAGCAGATAAAGAAACTGTTTTCAGTCGCCGCTAATAACTACTGACCTGAAGTGACACCGAGCCACAATGGGCCTGAAAAAGTTGAACCGGGGAACCTGATTAGGACTTTTGGAGAGGTCTGGAGCCAGAATCAATAGGCGGTCTGTGCGAGCGCGGGGGGAGCTGGAGCGGCCTCCAACAGCATTAGTGATGCCTCATTAAGTTGCACAAACCTCCTCGAGAGAAATTTGTTTTAGAGCGACGGACGGACGGGGAGAGATCTTAATTCAGCAGCAGGAAGCGGCAGAGCTCCCCTGACGGAGACGGGCACAAACCGAGGCCTAGACGTGTTTAATTCTACCTCAGATCGTCACAAAGAGGAAAACAGGAAGAGCCACTTTAGAGGGAAAGTTACATTTCCAACATCTCACACAGCAGAAAAAATAAACAGTCTCTCTGCGCAGAGCGGTCGATCGAGTGCGACAAAGCAACAAAGCGTTACTCTGTTTAAAAGATAAAAACATTTTAGGATCTGTGTTTTAAAACAAGCTTCAACAGCCAGGACGCCAAACGTGAGCCTAGCCTCAGTCCACATCCTGAAAAACGTAGCCTTTAAAATAAATAAAAAATCAAAGCAGACTCACCTTGGATATTGGGGCTGTTGGAAGGGGGGAGGCGCTCCCAGCAAACTGCCCTGCCTGGAATCTGCAGAGAACAAAAGACAACATGTTCAGAGAAGTGCTTCAGCTCGGTGAAGTTCGAAGAGGAAACACAACCTTTCTTTTTTTCCTCTGTCTGCTCAACCGGGACGTCGAGCCGGTCATTGTCGTTTTGATTCACCTGAGAAGCTCGACGGGATCATGACAAAGAAAAAAAGAGAGAGGACACATTTCTGCAGCGTGTACAGACGTGAAAAGTTACTTTGCAGTTTTAATCTTTAGGGACGTGATGAGACACTCGACTCAACATTCAAAGTCCCCCCCACGCCCCCCCAACTCTAAGTTAGACAGCGGACACTAGCTGCCCCCCTCAAATCAAAAACTACAGCACCAACACTTCATCATTGTCCCAATGTTTACTGAACTTGACAGCTGCTCTTTTTTAGACTCAAGTAAACCATTAAACTTTCAAACTAAAACTATCAAACTGAGGACATTTTCTCTAATTTAATTTGAGTTTGTTTTGTAAACATTCGACACATTTTCAATTAGTTGCCGTTTTATTGGTAAAGTCTCATTTTGATTTTAATTTCAGTTAACAATCATGTATTTTTTTACAGTAGTATTTGTAGTTTGTGTTAGTTTTTGGTAAGTCTTCATATTTTTGTAATTTTTCCACGTTATTTTTTAGTCATCGTTGTTTCGTTAGTTGTCTTTATTTTGTAAGTTTTACGTATTTCTCGTTTTTCGTACATTTTATTTTGTTAGTTTTCGTTATTTTGTTAGTTTTTGTTATTTCGTACGTTTTATTTTGTTAGTTTTCGTTATTTCGTACGTTTTTGTTATTTCGTACGTTTTATTTTGTTAGTTTTCATTGTTTTGTTAGTTTTTTGTATTTCTCGTTATTTCGAATGTTTTATTTTGTTAGTTTCCATCAGCTTTTTCGTCGTTGCTGTCGGAATGTTTTTTGGTCATTTTGTTTCTGTTGATCTTGATTCTGTTTTCTAATTCCATCAACACACCGCACACTTTAAAAAAGAAAACAAATGTAAGACTTTTTAAGACCGACACAAACAAAAATCTATTTTTGCACGGCGTTGATGTGACAGCTTAGCGTCCCCGTTGTCCAAAGTTTTTATATTTTGCATATCCTGCAAGTTGCCTCATAATCATCAATTAATCGTTAACTGTTCGCTGTGTCTAAATGTCTCCATCTTCTCCGCCTTTGTACGCAACCGGCTGCTGCAACTGCTTCTGTAAACGCCGTGAAACGTTACGTCAGCAAGAAAACTTTCCAAAAAAAAACAATAAATGAACAACGCTAACGCTAACTAGCCAGTGTAGATTTTATAAAGTATTCAGACATGCAGTGCCATTTAAAATTCAAGACCTGTCTCTAGTAAAAGTAAGACTTTTAAAAACATTTGAGGAGCTTAAATTCTCAAAAGTTAAATCTTTTTAAGGATCCCAGGAAGCTTTTTAATCTTGTTGGCGTCGTTGCTTTGTAACGTGAGTTTAGAGAAATGCTCAATAAATAAAGATTATTGTGATCATTGTTCCTCTCAGGAAACAGCTGTCTGGATTGACTCGTCTGCTTCTATTAGAAGAACGAACAAAAAAGAGGATTTGACCTAAAAACCACGAAGACGAATTAACCCAACATGAGCCGGCTTCACCCTCGAGTGAAACCAAATAAAAAGAAATAAAAACATCAACTATTTCATTTTCTGTTACGACCACAGAAGAGATTGTTGTAATGATAAAAATGAAGCTTGTGGATGTAGGCGGATGGTTGGAGGAGCAGAGAGAGGCAGACTGATGGGAGAAGCCGGAGCGCCCACATTTGCATTTTTTGTTCAGAAAATGAAATAAGCATTCAGCCGGCGGCATTGTGGACACTTCAAGTACCCTGGTTCCATCGCTGCAGGCCCTTCACAAAGACACACTTAAAAAAAAAAAAAAAAAAAGGAGAGGAGCTAACGGCTTCTTCCAGATTTTCTGTTGCCAAGGCGATGACCAGCTGCGAGCCGCGGACTTGTTTGTTTATCGGGGCCGGCGGGGCTGAGTGGCTCGGCTCAGGGAGGGTGAAGGGTGCCCCCCCCCACACACACACACACACACAAAATAGTATCCAGAGACTCACGTTTACAAACCTGGGAGAGAGTCTGTGTTAAAATAAAATAAAAAATTTTAAAAAAGGATTTGGGACGAGAGAAAAATTAAGTTCCGTTTTTAATCGCTCATTTATCTTCCTTCAGCTGCGGTCCTCTCGCTCTCGACCTCAGCTGCATGGGTTCCTGAATTCTGTCGATATTCGGGTTCTCGTGGGTCTGGTTTCTGTTGGGGGTCTCATGTGGGTCTGGTTTCTGTTGGGGTTCTCGTGTGGGTCCGGTTTCTGTTCTGGTTCTCGTGTGGGTCCGGTTTCTGTTGGGGTTCTCGTGTGGGTCCGGTTTCTGTTGGGTTCTCGTGTGGGTCCGGTTTCTGTTGGGGTTCTCGTGTGGCTCTGGTTTCTGTTGGGTTCTCGTGTGGGTCCGGTTTCTGTTGGGGTTCTCGTGTGGGTCCGGTTTCTGTTCTGGTTCTCGTGTGGGTCCGGTTTCTGTTCTGGTTCTCGTGTGGGTCTGGTTTCTGTTGGGGTCTCATGTGGGTCTGGTTTCTGTTGGGGGTCTCATGTGGGTCTGGTTTCTGTTGGGGGTCTCATCTGGTTTCTGTTGGGGGTCTCATGTGGGTCTGGTTTCTGTTGGGGGTCTCATGTGGGTCTGGTTTCTGTTGGGGTTCTTGTGGGTCTGGTTTCTGTTGGGGTTCTTGTGGGTCTGGTTTCTGTTGGGGTTCTTGTGGGTCTGGTTTCTGTTGGGGGACTCATGTGGGTCTGGTTTCTGTTGGGGGTCTCGAGTGGGTCTGGTTTATGTTGGGGTTCTTGTGGGTCTGGTTTCTGTTGGGGTTCTTGTGGGTCTGGTTTCTGTTGGGGGTCTCGTGTGGGTCTGGTTTCTGTTGGGTTCTTGTGGGTCTGGTTTCTGTTGGGGGTCTTGTGGGTCTGGTTTCTGTTGGGGGTCTCATGTGGGTCTGGTTTTCTGTTGGGGGTCTCATGTGGGTCTGGTTTCTGTTGGGGTTCTTGTGGGTCTGGTTTCTGTTGGGGTTCTTGTGGGTCAGAAAGACATTTTTAAGATGACTGGTCAGCTGCTCTTATTTGTTTAAAGCTTCATGTTTGCCCTCAGTGTTGATACTATTATTAAAAACTGTTAACTTTGTGGCAGCTAATTATTTTAGCAAACAAAAGGATTCACCTCTAATGTTCTACAATCAACCTGCTTGTCTTTTAATTTGCTGAGTGTTGTTTTTAAACCTTCATCCTTATTTTAGAGACAGAAAGAGAAGCTGTTAGCACTCCTGAGGACTGAAATCCTCCTGACCTGGCTGTTCACACATGCACCTCACAGCAGGGGACTATCCCTGTCAGACAGGAGGGGGGACGGGGGGGGTCTAGAGCAGGTTCATCACGAGCACGGAGATGGTAGAGGTGGCGTGCAGACAGTCTATGGTCGTGCAGCGATCACAGGTGAATGAAGGTCACCACCCCCTCCCACTGGCCCCTCCCACTGGCTCCAGGTGAATTCTCCTGATTATATCCTGCTGTGTTCTCACATCAGCTCACTCTGACTTTCAGCAGAATAAACACGAGGAGGTTGGAGGAGAAACATTCAGCTGTTTGTGTTCACACATGACGCTCAGACTGAATACTTCTGGAGAGTTTCGTGAAGGTGTGAACACGTCTGCAGAAACTTTATCAATAATAGTTTCAAGGACACTTCATGACGCCGCAAGACATTCATATTGATTCTGTAACGGTTTAATGTTGGTGTCCCAGTCTGTGAATTCACATCGCCTTACGACGTTTCTGAAACCCGAGAGAGCACGGCACAGCGGGAGCACCACATTCATAGTCTGCGACATTCATATTGAAGGTGAAACGCCACAGGAGGCGTAAATATTGCATCTTGAAACAGCCGCCTGAAAAGGACTCTGACGCTAACACGGCTGCTTGAGCCTTTAAATGACCTAAAAACAAAGTCTACACTTCTACTGTCCTCTAATTCTCTTTTTAAACGATTCAGCCGCTTTAACAAAGAGCTTTCAACTATTTTCTTCCTCAGTTTGACATTGTTCCCCATGCTTGGCGTGCACACGTTCCCCCTTTTTGTGTGTTTCATATTTATTTAAGAACATAAAATATTTGTTTCATCTTTAACCACATTGAGCAGCCAGTCAACAGCCATCCCCCTTTTTTTCCCACTATTACCCTCTTTATTTAAAAAAAACTGACCCCCCCACTATGTTAAAAACACGTTCAAGTTAAAAATAAAGATGACAAACTAAAAAAAATAACTAAAAATGTCGATCTTTACACATTTCTTTCTCTGATATCAAAGAGTCTGAGACGTTTGGACAATAATCAAAGAATGAAGGAGGGAATAAAAAGCTGAAATAATCCGGTTTGAGCCGATGACTTAAAAGGGAAAGTCTGGCAGGAAACATCCGAGCCAGTTTCTGCTGCTGACCGCTGCAAAAAGACACAATTAGGAGCCAGCAGGCGGACTGCTGTCGGGACTTTATCTTTTGGTTTTTGTCATTCAGTTTTCATGTTTGATTATCTCCTCCGCCAACAAACTTTAAGTGGACCACCCAGCCGGGCTCCAATTATAACTCCACAACACTCGGGTCTTCTTTTTCCCCTCGTCGCTGGTGATGCCTCAAAAGGAGAGAATTACAAGTGGACACCTGTCAATCTCCTTAATTAACAATGATCTGAAAGTGTATAGACCTCCACAAAAGCCAACAAAGGATTACGCTTTAAATCCTTAAAACACGCCCGCGTACGCTGTATTAACGCCCGGGATTACAACCGTGCTAAACAACTAAACGTCTCTCTCCGCCCCCTCTTTTCAATTAGCTCAGCGACTATTTGACTCGGGCTCCCGTCCAGCCGGCTCAGGGCCGAGCGCAGACGCGGGGGACAGTAACTTTTTCTGTTTCAGCCGGACAAAGACGCCA